GGATCAGTTTCATCACCAGGGGAAAATCGAGTGTGAAAGACGTAAAAAGAAAGTTGTTTTAAACAAAACAGTTTTGAAACGTGTGATAGATGTTATTATGTTTCTTGAAAGACAAGGGCTTTCCTTTAGGGGTCACTGTGAATCACTCACAAATTGCTATCTTAATGCAGGAAAATTTTTGGAAACGCTTAAATTATTGTCAGAGTACGATCAACCAATCAATGAGCATCTTGAGAAAGTTCGTGATCACCAAGTGAAGCAATCGACAAAGGATGGTGGTAAAACTGATGGAAAAGGAATCAAGGAACGTGGCTCATGGCTAACGTTTTTGAGCAACGGTATTCAAAATAAGTTAATTAATATCATTGGTAAAGAAATATCTTCTGTTATTGTACAAAGAATTCGCAACTGCAAAGCATGGGCACTGATTGCTGATACAACACCCTATATAACTCATACAGAGCAATTGAGTATATGCGTAAGGCTTGTTAATGAAACTGGCGAGTGTTCTGAATACGTTTTATCATGCCAAAAGCAACTGGAAGAACTACATGACCATATACACTGCTATTACAACAATATTACAATTGCACGGAGTTTCATTTGAAAAGCTTGTTGCCCAAACGTATGACGGAGAATCCAGTATGAGCGGATGTTATAATGGTTTGCAGGCAATTGTAAAAGAAAAAATCGGAAACCACATCATCTATGTTCACTGCTATGCGTATACGCTAAATCTTGTCTTGTCCGATTAAATTTGTGTTGCTATTGATGTCATTACTCTTTTTGACTCTCCCGAAAAACGGCACGTTCTCTTTAATAATTCTCATAAAGTACACGAATTGTTTCAATTGGTTCAAAAGAATGAAAACCTCAAATTTTTTTTCAATTAAACGTCTTAATACAATTCGATGGAATGCAGGAGAATTTTGTTTAAGTGTATTTCTTTTGAGTTTCGAGTGCATCATGCGAGTGCTCCAAAAAGTGGCTGAGGAAAGATCGCTCACTGAAAGTCAGCGGGCAACAGCAAATGGATTGCAAGCAGCTTTTCAGACAAAGCAATTTGTTGCGACTGCCTGTCTTTTCCAAGAAATTTTTGGAATTACTGGACATTTAAGTCGATATCTACTGAGCGTAAATGCTAACTTTGGAAAAGCAATGGATATGGTTGATAGCTCAATTTCTAGAATTCAAATCATACATAACAAACCAGAAAAAATCATTGAAATGTCCGATTATTTTGCGTTAGATGTCGAATGGAGGTCTACGACATCATCGTCGACGACTAATGGACGGAGAACAAGCCAGAGATGATTTGCAGATTCACCAAAAGCACAATGGAGGCGAGACACATTCTATAAAGTGCTAGATTCCATTCAATCTTCAATGAAGAATCGTTTTGAAAAGAATCGACCACTAATGAAATCATTTGCTTTATTCGCACCTAATCAATTTGACAGCTCTCGAGCAAATACAAGACACCTCACGATCTTCAATCTGCTGTGAAACCTTTTGTGATGTGTATAAGATAGATTCCGAAAGATGCGCTACTGAACTATTGCTTTGCAGAAACATTTAAGAAATTTCTCTGTTCGCAGTTTAAAACTCAAAGTGACCATAATCATAATGAGCAGAACTTTGAAACTATTGATGATGGTAATGATGATGATGATGATCAAAATCATTCCGATACTGACATAAGTAAGCTTTCGAATAATGCGTCAATTACCGAGAAGGCTAAAACTTTGTCATTCTTAGATGCCTTAAGCTGCTTTTTCCAAAGTACCATTTAGTCGACATACCCAACATTATGCAAAGTTTATTTAATTGCAGTGGCCATACCCATTAGCTCAGCAACTGCTGAACGTTCTTTTTCTTCGCTGAAGAGAGCAAAAAGGAGGATTCGATCTACGATGGTACAGGAACGCCTGGAATCATTGCTTTTAATGGAAGTTTAAAGGGAAACTCTCCTTTCTATCGACAAAGACAGAATCATAACTTTTGGGAAAACCTCCCCAACGCTTGCAAAGGCATTAATATAAACATATTTTTCTATAAAAAACAAATAACGCAACAGACATATAATTGCTTGATGATACTTAGTTTTTAAGTTACTTTCTTTTTTATGAAGATTCATGTTTGTGTTTTATAAAATAAAAATAACTAAAATACTTGAAAATAGCTATAAGAAAAGATGAAAGGGGCGCAAAATTTATGTTGGCCACCGCAGTAAAAACTATGCCACCACTCCACCAAAAAAGTCAAATGTAAAACTAATTTTTTATGATTTTGAAACGGATTTTACAAGCGGAGAGCATGTTGTGAACTTTGCTGTGTTACAGGTTGCTTCGGGCGAAGAACGTGTTTTTAAAGGATATAATGCATTAAATGAACTTTGCGAGTTTTTATTTTCAAGAGAGAATGTAGGCTATACAGCAATTGCGCATAATGCAAAAGGATTTGACGCTGTAATCATTAAAAATGGCTCATACAATATCGACCGACAGCCGATGCATGTACTTCATTCGGGTCTAAAAGTAATGCAATTATATTTAAAGCATTATCAGATGACGCTAATCGACTCGCTAAACTTCCTAAGTATGCATCTTTCCAATTTTCATCGATGTTTGATTGAATCTGTCGATGTATGTCAGTCACTACAATTATTTGCAAAATTTTGAAGATCTTTCAAATTACTTCGGTTTGATTAAGTGCCGCGTTTTGGCACCGGCGAACATCATCCCGTGCTCCCGATGAAAGTTAATGGTAAATTAATGTTTCCACTTTGTAAGCGTGTGCTGTGATGCCTCTTTAGAACGCCACCATTCCGAAAACCAGCGTTCATTTTGTGGGACTTTACGACCATTGAAATGAGCACGGCAATCTAAAAGGCTACAAAATTTTGGAGGTGCATGAAATTAGGGATTTTGAAGAAACATCGGGACAGTTTATTTAGTGAATATGTCAATTTCTTTTGCGGTTGAAACAAGAAGCTGGGCTTTCTGGATTGGGTAAACTCAGACGCAGACCAGGCAAAATACTTCGACGACCATCTAAAGCATGAGGGAATTCTATTGCGTAAGGAAAAATTGTGAAAAATCCAGGGTTAAGATTGCTAGCAAAACTTTGTTTTAAACTCGCTGTAGGGTAAATTTACAGTAATGATATGTTAATTACGGAGTTTATTCACCATCCACTTGTATTTTAAAAACGACTAAATAGTGCAGAAACTGAAAGTCACGACATGCAATCACTGAATGACGATTTAGTCGAAGTTGTATACAAGCGTGATTGGGAGTTTCAAAAAGAAAATAAAACAACAAATATTTTTATTGGTATTTTTACAACTGCATGGGCACGTTTGGAGCTCTACAGTTTGTTAGATTTACTAGGACATAGCTCACTGTATGTCGACACAGACAGTTGTGTGTATGATGCAAAGCCTGATTCTCCAAAGCCTCCTTTAAGGCCCATCTCCACTAGACGATTTTTGTGACGATCGTCTTAAATTTTCGCGACGACACATGCGCAGAGGCAAAAAGCTTTTCGTTCGGACGAAATTTTTGACGATTTTGATTCTGACGAAAAGTTTAAACTGTTTTAACTTTTCGTCAAGCGCTTTACGATCGTCAAAATTTTAGCCAATCAAATATCAGAGATGAGCAAACACTGCACATGGCCAACCTAGCAGTTCATATTAAGCCCCGTTCACACGGGGAAATTTTCTTTGACAAATGATATGTGACAAATAAATTTTGTCCGTGTGAATGAACAATTTGTTACAAATTTTTTATGACAAATGAATTTGTTCAAAAGCTGGGTTGTTAGCTTTTTTTTGTCGTATAAAATTTGTCAATAATCAAATTTGTCCGTCTGGACGACCATCACATCAAATGTGTCAAATTTTATCAAACAACATGGCGACGACGCAAGGAGGGGACAACGAAACATGTGATTTCTTGGACTGACAGCAGTATTTCTTTACTTCTCGATGCCCTTAAGACAAGAGAGAGTTTGTGGAACTCTAAGCTGACATCGTACCGAGATAGAAATATAAAGAAGAGAGAATATCAAGAAATAGTTGCCATTTTAAGCGCCGAAATTCCAAAATGGATTTATCAGCTGTAAAAGGTAACAGTATTCAAAATGTAATTGTTTAAATTTGTGTTACACTTTGATAGCTCTTAAACATTTCTCTTTTAATTTTTGAAACGATGCACAGTGCCCTTCAGTAATTGGGTTGATGAATATTGTCTGTTCACTATAAAGGAATTTCTCAATTAGTATCAATATTCAGCAGGAAACAGAAACTGCTGCAAGTTGTCTAATATTGTTGTAGAAATATTGTTTTGCTACAGCTAAGATTCAAGGACTTCGAACGACCTTCCGTGAAGAAATAAGAAAAATTAAAAAAGTGAGCATACTGGTTGTGGATCAGCTGAAATATATGTCCCAAAATGGAAGTTTTTCAATGAATGCTTCTTTCTTGAGATGTTGTTGCATTAAATAGACCAACATGCAGTAACATTGAAGATGAAATAGACATTTCAATACAGGTGGCAATGAGCATGAAATTTGGGGAATGGATGGAAATTCTGAAACTGGCAGCACATGCAGTGATACATCATTTGGTATGCATCCAAAAAAGAAAAGAAGCTCAGAAGAAAATGAATGGATGAAGACTGCAGCAAGTGCACTTACCAAGTTGTCCCAAGATAATGACAATCAACAGGATGAATGGGATGTGTTTGGGGTGGATGTTGCTAATTCCCTTAGAGCCATCAACAGCCCAGAGTGGCAAAGGCAGGCTAAGTTTGCTGTGCAGTCTGCCATTTTCAAGCTGCAGAAAAAGCTCGATGCACAGTTTCTAACTCTACATTATGTACAGATAGTACCATCCCAGTTATTGATTCATTTTTTAAAAATTTTAACAACTGAATATTTTCATTTTTAGAATTGATTTTTGAATACACTGCCTCTTACTTAATTAATTAAGAATGTTGATATTACAGTTTTTTAGGTGATGTACCTTTCTTCTAACAATTAATCTCCTCTATAGTGATTGTTTAGTTTCTAGGCTGTTGTTTTTTATTTTGTAATATGTGATTTTGTAACACTAACCATACATTTTTCATCCATGATCCATCAAGCAAAATGATTTTTTGAATTAAAAAATTCCAAAAATAAAAATTTTCTTGATTATATGATCACAAACGTGCGTGTTTATGGGTTCTAAAAAACTGAATTTAATTAAATGTAAATAGCTAGCTTTAACATAATCATTCAGTAATCTTCCATTGAAATGGAACAGCACCTTCTTCAAAAAAGTAATCTTTCATGTCATCACGAACAGCTCTAGCTTGCAATGTAGAAGACCGTTCACTTGGATGACTGCATAAATCAGTGATTGTGCATGTATTGTCAACTTCCTTTCTCCATGCACCATGCATTACAATACAATTTTCATCTTCATCATCCAAATATCCAGCAGGAGCATAATTTGTATCATTTCTTGATATAAGGTAATTATGAAGGGCTAGGCATGCACGAACCACTTCTATACGTTTCAACATTTAATTCCAATGTCTTTAAAAGAACTCTACACCTGGCACAGAGAATACCAAAGCATTCGACAATTAAGCACACAGCCCTCGATAAACGATAATTAAACACCTTTTCATCCCCCATTGCCGACCTATGAGGATAAGGTTTCATTAAATTAACATTTAATGCAAAAGCCTCGTCACCTAAAAGAAAATATGGGACATTGTTGGGTCTTTTTCCCAATTTCGAGGCATTGGAAAACATTGCTTTGCATATACATTCAAGGAAACCATGTTTAAAGATTCCACCATCTGACATACTTCCTGGTGCACCAAGGTCAAATGATACAAACCTTGCCTTAGCATCAGCAATAGCAAGCAAAACAATACTTGAGTACTTCTTGTAATTAAAATATTCTAAACCCGTATTGGGTGGTGCTTTTATATTAATGTGCTTTCCATCTATGGCACCAACAGCATGAGGAAACTGCCACAAATCCGAAAATTCTTCTGCTAATTGTTTCCACTGTGCATGCGTTGTAGGGGGCTGTAAAGTCTTTTTCAAAACATTATAGATTACTTTACACAATTGGAACAAATGTTGATATTGTAGAAGTTGACATTCTGAATGAGTAAGAAAGATCTTTATATGATGCTCCAGTTGCAAGAAGTCTGAGTTACACATAGTTTCTCAAATGGTGAAATAGCATCCCTCATGTTGGTATTCTTTTTCAAAAGAAAAACATTGACCTGATCATACAATTCATCAAACAATGTCGGTTCCATTCTAAAGAAATACACAAATGATAAAATAAAACGGTGTCTACGGTATTAAATAAAAACAAAGTGTGCTCACCTTAAAAAGTTTCCAAAACTTGCGATATCTGTGCGTCTTAACTCTGGAATCAAATTGAATGCAATACTTTGTGATTCTCTTCGTTCTTGTGTGGCCCATGGTCGCACCCACCATCTACGTTTTCGCATTTTTTTACCTTTACGTATTATCTCCATTAAAATAAAAACAGCCAAACTAATACATAAACGTTTCTTTTTCTTTAAAGTCTTGTAACGAGTCATCTTGCGATTGTCAAAAGTTGATATTTGTAGGACGTAATATCTCGATAAGATAAAGTAACGACGTATTTTCCTTTTCTGCTAACCAAATGTATCGAAGGCAATCTAGTGACAGTGCTATGTAACCAAAAATTTGATAGCCGTTCACATGAACTTATGCATTTGTCATATATCATTTGTCAAAGAAAATTTCCCCGTGTGAACGGGGCTTTAATGATTTCAACATGGCTACTAGTAACGAAGAAACAACAGAAGTTGAGTTAATTATTACAGAGCTTCCACACTCATCAGAAGTGGACAGTCAGTCTCAAAAGTCCAATTTTTCTGTGGAAGGCAATACCTTTGACAAAGAAATGTTTCTCCAAGCATTAAGAATATAAAATGCTTGTGGGATACCAGTGATCCCAATTACAAAAATCGTAATATGAAGTGAATGCATGGAATGCATTGTCATCGTTGTTTAATCAAGAAGGTACGAGTTTCTTCCATTTTTACAGTTTTCCTTTGCCTATTTACATGCCAAAATCAAACTATATCCTACTACAAAAATGCTCTACAAGTTATAATGTACACATGAAATGGAGGGTTGTCAATGAACTGTGTTGATGTTTGGTGTCTGCATGAAACCAAAAATTTCCTTTGGGTCTGTATGCTGTGAGTCCAAAATGAATCCTAGTCTAACTTACACAGTTCTTTTCTGCCAGCCTTTCTGAGTTGTGGCCTATTTCAACTTTTTTCATTCGGACAACATATATTTTTATTCTAGTTGATTCAAGTCTTTTCATATGTGTTTGATGACATTTGGTAATTTGTTTTGAATTTTTACTTTTTAGTGGCATTCCTACAGAAAATTTATAAAAATCTAAAAAGATTCTTTAAAGAAATGCCTGGACAAAGAAGGGCCATGACCAGATCAGGTGCTCCTGCAGGATGTCTACCTACATGCAAATATTTTTGAATTGATGCGTTTTCTTCATGAGAAAACTTCCAATTTGCCAACTCATAGCAATGTTGACATATCACCTGCAGCATCCAGCCATGTAATTGAAACTGGTAATTTTGAGGATCAATCAGATGCTTTTCCCCTGCTATATCTTCTTCCACATCACCATTTCAACCGATAGCTTGCTCTATGTCACCATTATCGGTACCTGCAATCGTATACTCTAACAACACGACACCTGAAAGACCTATTGATGAAAATACTTCAAAAAAGCGTAAAAGACCTTCATCTGAAAAAAGTGCTTATGACCCATTTTTGCAACAAATCAAGCAAATGGATGATCAACTAATCAAAATTGTTAACAAAGAGTCTGCGGATGATGAGGCTACAGCATTTTGCATGAGTCTTGTACCTGTGCTGAAAGACTTTGATAAAAAAAAGCTAAGATTAGCAAAAATTAAAATTCAACAACTTTTATTTGACATAGAATTTGATGATCAATGAGATAAAATATGCATTCAGTTTTTAACAATATAACAATTTTGGTATTTACATATTCTTAAGATTTTTCCTTTTTTAAACATGAATTTTATTTCTGTGTTGGTGACCTCAAAACAAGCATCATGGGTCTGACAAATTTGTTTTGAAATAATATTTCACATGTGGTGGGAATCATGAGAATTCATTACATAATAAAAGTGATTAAACATTGCTTTGAATTGATTACAATTTACCTTGAACTTTTCTTGGGTTTGAAAAACTCAATTTACTAAACTCATTTTAACATTTTGATGAATTCTCTTTTCTCATCATATATAAAAACCTGTATGCTTACATAAATAGACTATATAGAATATTATTAATTAATGAATAACATTGTATATGTGATAATTGATATTCTGTTTGCTTAGCCAAATAATGACATTCCTGTAAAGCTTAACAATTATCTACATTTTATGTTATTCATTAGTTGTTTCCAAGTCCTATTAAAAATAAGACTCAATTTATTTTGCTTTGCCTATTTTGTCCCATTGCCAGTCAACAGCACCCTCATTGTTGAAATAATGTTCAAACTGTTCTCTAACCCATTTAGCTTCCCACCATAATTTCTTGAAGCGCAACATTTTGAATAGAGCTATACCATTCATATTTGCATCTTTCTCCATTCACCAGGTGCAGTCCATTTGGCCCATCCTGGTCAACAAATGTACTTAGGCAATAGTGACTTTCTCTGTCAGTTTCATTTATAGTCATCAGGAGTTGTGCAGTGCAACCACTGCTTTTTATTATTGCAACCTTGGGTACTTTTGCAATGATTGGCCTGTGGAAAACACGAAAGCGACTAGCACAAATGCAAATGTGTTTTCAATTACCCTCCTTGCCGCGACTGAGCCTATAATTGAAAACTAGCTTACTTTCTGAAAGATTGGAGAATGGATATGGCTTCATCATATGTCTTTAGACCAAAGCATCATCTCCAACAAAACATACGGTAAAACCTTATTAATTGGAATTTGACAATCAGGTGGAGTGTTCAGGAGTTTATTTTCTATAGCATAACCTAAATTGCTGTTAGCATAAACACTTCCATCACTTTGCCGTCCACTATCACCTATATCAACCATAGTAAACTTGTACCGAGCATCACATATGCCATGAGCACAATACTGTGAGTCTTTTTATAATTAAAGCGGATGACTGATTATCAGGAGCAAACATCAACATGTTTGCCATCAATTGCGCCAAGTGCATTCGGAAAATTCCATCGAGCTTCGAATTCATTGTAATTTTTCTCCATGCTTCAATCCAGAAGGTGTGTCAATATATCCTGCTTCCTTCAGTCTATTCCAAATTGAATTGCACGTTTCATCGATTATTCTGCCCACAGTTGTGGCACTCATTCTATAATTAGCGCCAATAGTTGAATAGGCATCACCGGTGGTTAAATATCGTAGTGTCACTGCAAGTCTTTGGTCAGGTCCAATAGGTTTTGGAAACATACGAAAGTATCTAAAGACATTTCATGGTCGTAAGGTCGCATATCATTTATCAATAGCTTATATTCTCCTTTTCACATTTCTTTCTTCGTTACAGCTTTCTTATCCAAAATCGACGTTTCCTTTTTCTTGTTTTGGTGTTCTCCCTGAGCATTTTGGTGAGGATGTAAAGAAATAAATATCTTCTACAAGCAGCAAATATAGAATATATCTTTTATTTATAGACGCCATTTTGTTTATTGGAAAACACCGCGAAATAATCGTCTAGTGGAGATGACTAACAAAATCGTCCTATAATTCGTGTTCGAAATATTGTCGCGAAAATTTAAGACGATCGTCACAAAAATCGTCTAGTGGAGATGCGCCTTTAGGAGACTATCTAAGAGATTTGACTAATGAAATCGGTGAAGGCGAACACATTACTGAATTTGTCTGTGGTGGTCGTAAGAATTATGCTTATACAGTTAGTAACGGCAAACAACACTGTAAAATAACAGGCTTTACAGTGAATTTTCAAAATAGCTTACTTTTAAACTTCGATTCGTTAAAAGATATGATTTATAACTAGGAGTTACTATCGCAAGGGAAGTGCTGCCCCTCCACCAAGTAAGGTAAAACAGTTTGGAAACTGCTATTGCGTGTTTTCCATCATTTATCATCTGCCATAAACAATACAATAATGAATGGTAAAAATAAAAATACAGCAAGAAACCGCAACAACTCGTAAACTTTGTCATTGCATAAAGACAAGAATTGTATCATCTTTATTTTCAAATTGTCATATAAATCAATTTATAGAAGTAGATGCAAGAAGTAACACTGTATGTACGTATAATTATGCTAATTTCAAAATGGAATAATTGGATGAACAGTTTTCAAAGCTCATTTTACAAAAATTTGCATATTGTCATTTAGAACTCGCCAATAACAATTAAATGATGTTAACAGGAGCTTAAATGAAATTTTCAGAAATTTCATTCACTTGATTGCAACAGCACAAGATCAACACATCCATCAATACAAATCGTTATATGGTGTCATATATATATCTCTTAAAGTCTCCCTGTGCTTCTTTGTTTATATCATGTTTTCACCTGGATTCATGTTACTCAGTTGTTTTAGCAAGAATCACATTATACATACAAACTTGAATGGTACATGCGAGTACATACAAGTAACATATGAGTACATCGAGTAACATCACGAGTACATACGAGTAACATACAAGTACATCTGAGTAACATGAGTACATATGAAATGACATCTGACTATTTTCTGGTCAACAAATGAGAAACAACACAATTTCTTCAATACATTGATATATGTACATAGAGTACATACGAGTACATACGAGTACATACGAGTAACATACGAGTACATACGAGTAACATACGAGTAACATACAAGTACATACGAGTAACATACGAGTACATACGAGTGACATACGACTATTTTCTGGTCAACAAATTATAAATGACAAACGATTATACATTCATTTTGACTCTGAAGATGACTACCGCTAAGGTTGTCAGGCAATCGATCAACAACAACAAAAAAACAGTCCGTCTCAGGACTATACGTAACAATGCAACTCATTTAATTCAAATATATATAATGTACATTTATTTCATGGCACGTTTGAAAGCATTATTTATACGTTGTTTATTTAATCCTTTCATAAATATGTATTTCCTAGGTGAAAGTGTTTCAAAAAGCGCTCAAATACTGGCAAATCGCATCGACAAAATATCTATAACAAATTCAACTAAAACATACAAATGATAGTATAAAGTAAAATACCTTTTCAGCATTTAAATCCATCAAATGGTTGCCCCAGTCCACTCAAATACAAGGAAAAATAAACGCAAATATCAATGTATTGAAGAAATTGTGTTGTTTCTCATTTGTTGACCAGAAAATAGTCGTATGTCACTCATATATACTCGTATGTCACTCGTATGTACTGTATGTTACTCGTATGTACGTGTTTGTGTTTTAGTCACGATCGTTTAATCATAGCATTCAATTTCTATCCAATCGGCATGCACAAACGACGCACAGTTCACCTTATATATGGAGATGAGTGCTTCAATGCTCAATCGATTCTCGTCAGTCATACGTTTTCATCCCTAAAATTAAAAGATAAATTCCTTGTCATTTTGAATGAAAACATTTTTTTGATTCTTTTAAATGTCTTGATTGTTTTGATTCTTTTGAGTCTTTAAAATGCTTTTTGATTAAAAGTATGATACGTTGTTTACTCAACCGAACAATCGTCCGCATGTTTACAAACGTAGAAACGGACTATATTATAAAACTGTAGTTTTGTTTCCATTATTTCCTTTATAACATTTTGATAGAACCTTTTTTCCGATGATTCTGTGCGACTGCGATAAAATGATGTATAGTTATCGCAAAGAGCAAACGTTTCATCATATTCATAATTCATATTTCATGGTTGAACTCGCACCATGCGTTTAAATTATTTTGACGTTTTTAAATCCACACCGATATTTCAAGTAATAATAAAAGCTCGAACGAAATAAATACATGCTTACACTATATTTTGCTCACCGTCTGACCATAGAGCGCAAGATAAAAAATGTGAACCGAGCTGGCTAAATACGGCACGGTGAATCGATTTCATGTGTTTTTCGCCAAACGAGATATGTGTAATTGATGTCGGTAATCACTCGATTTTGGTATCTACTGTATAACGCTGTTTAGGCCGCATATCTATTCGGATTCCAGACATTAAAAATCAAAGAGAAACTGACAGGAGTTCCGAAAGGTTCTACCTTATTGTGATTGTTCTTCCCCCCTCATTCCGTAAAAATCCCCCCCGGAAATGTTAACAGACAGACAGACACAAATCGAGATTTTACCATTGAGTTCTATAAGACCTGGAGGGGAAACGTCAACCAAATTACTATAAACTATTATCAGCATGTGGTCAAAAACATGGCGGATTTTGGTTGTCAAAGTCATGGAAAGGGCAGGCTCATGAATGAAATTTTTTCGCCCACTTGGTTTGACAACCACAATTGCGATTATATAAAATATCAATGCCAAGCACAAAACTTTAGAAGTTTTATCTTTAAAACATGCAAACTTGTTTGGTATACGGATGCTGAAGTAATGCCAGAAAGGAAACATTTCATGACACCGTAAGCAACATGGATTGTTTACTATTTAAAGTGTTCAGTGTTTTTGTTTTAAGTCGATACTTGAAGTGTGGTGGCATATATTTTGTGAATGTTTTACTCCTAAGTTGTAATTTAAGTTATGTTTATCCAGTCTTCTTTGTTCTTTACTTAATCAGATTGCTAGACGAGGCAAGCAACCCAGTTCTTATCGAGATATGCATATCTTAAAACTCCTTGTTTCAACTGAGTTGAAATGGAGGATTTTCATATTTTTCTGAAAATGGAAGGCAAATGTTAGGACAGAGCTGTATTGAAATCAAATGCAGTGCAGGATTAATTATGAGCTCTTTTTTGTTTATGTGCATGCAATGAAAAATACCTGTATTAAACAGCTAGCCTGGACAATTTGACAGATTATGGACAATCATAATGATGTAAAGGTTTGCTTTATGCTAAAAGTTTTATAAATCAAGCCATCTGGTGTTTCTGTAAATGAATTATTTGTTACACAGTGTAAAACAGGTTAGTACATCAAAATCAAGATAAAACTACTTTGTTCAATAATGTGCCAAATTTTGCTCCTACCTTGAAATATTTGCTCAAGAAAAAGCTTATCATGACATGCATGAAACATTAAATACAGTACTGCATCATCTGCAAAGTCCATGTTTTCAATTCCAGGTGATTAAAATTCACATAAGATGCATTGTTGCAATGAAGTTGAATGTGGAAGAAGCAAAATTGATGGCAAAGAACTTTTTATGTCTTTTGAAGAATTACGATATCATTTAAAGAATAAGAGTAGCATCTAGTAAAGAAGCGACATCTGTCTTCAACATGAGGACTTTTGTAATTATGTATAATTACTATGTACAAAATACTATTTTAGATAAACTTGATTTTTAAGTCATTCACTGATATTTTTACCAAAAGACAAAAAGAACAATTCAAAGGCATAATGTAAAATTCAAAAATTTGTCAAGTTGTTTGAACCTAGAAAAAATTAGTATAGGTAACTGTAATTTGTAAGGACACAAAAAGAAAAGTAGTGCAAGAAGGTTAGCATTTTGAAATTAATAAGTTCTTGACATACATTACACAAAGCCATAATATTATAAATAATGTCTGTATAATAACAATTATACAACATGCTAAATATCTTCACCTACATTATAATTATTTAAACAGGTTTGCCTTCATGCAGCAATAAGAAAAGTGTTATGTCAGAGAAACCAATGCACTTTGATTTAAGAAATGTGTATTTCAATGGAAATTAATGTAGTTCTGTTCAGTAGTAGATCCATGGTTGTCAATAAAATCCATTTTCTAATATCTTGGCTCAAAACAGAGACCAGCAACATGATTATAGAATTTCTGAATTTCGTTCTTTTGCTCTCCTAGTTCAAGATATTTTCCTCATAAGTTCTCAGTAGATTTATCAGAATATCATAATACTTTATAAGACACAGGATCAATCCTGCACCAAATAAACTCAAAAAATACATACCTGCTTAATATATTTCAGTCGACTTAAGTCGTAGGGTAAGTAAATGCTTTTCTAACTCCTTTTTGGACATTTTAACTAGATTTACCCATCTATTCAAGAAAGACAGTTGCACCAAGCTGTTTACAAACAGTCAAAAACACAAGTAATGCACATGGGATTATGCATTAAAGCTTAACAACACATTGACAGTGTAAAGATTGCCGTTTGATATTTATTTCTAATATAGCTAAAGCATTACTTGACAAAATATACGTTATTTTACAGTAGATTTACCTCATTTAAATGTGTGTGTCTATTTCACAAAAACCTGAAGCATTATTTTCAATATTTTATGCTTACGGTATCGTGGTTGTCATTATTATGAGCAGTAACAGGGATCCGTTTCGGGAGGGAGCGAATGTTAAAAATTTTTCTCAAAGTGGAAGTTTTGACAACCAAAATCCGCCATTACCGCCATGTTTTTGACCACGGGGTCCAGGCCCCTTTGCCCCTCCAGGTCTTTTAGAGCTCAATGGATTTTACCTCTATATAGGTCGAGTAGAGGAATGGGCCGAGACATGTCAAGATTAGTGTGCTGCCACGCTGATGCGTGGCAGCAATTATGTAGAAAAACCGTCAACTGTACAAATAGACGAATGTAAAATAGTCAGAGAGAAATGGTCGCATAAATTTGTAAATAGAAATCAAATTAAGAAATATCAACTTGTCTTTGACAAACGTGTAATAACAGACGGAGGTGCCGATACCATTCCCTACGGCTATCATTGGTTTCCGACAGAAATTTGCAACATTTACTCAGATCGCACGCGAAGCCGTGGCTAATGATATTTTATTTACATCTTTGCATCCAACCGCACTAAAAATTATAAGGAATGTATGCAGGTCAAGGTGAATGGCAAAGTCAATTGATTTAATAGAAACCGACTCTGAAGTCGAAGAAAGCTTTTCCAAAAGACAATTTGATGTGGAGTTTCTTGACGACATTGACCACTCTGACAGCGAACTTTCGTTTTACAGGCAGATTGATAATCAAGTATAGAGTCGACACAGGTAAATTAATAAAGTGACATGCATATAATCAAACAGCGTTGAATCAAAGGACAAAAGAAACAAAAAAAATGTATAAGGTGATTATTCTTAGACGGCGGTAACACGAAACTCTTCTTCACTAGATCTTGACAATGACATGGAATGACGACGAAGGTAGCTACTTTATTGTGGCATATCAACTTGCTCAACACGTGAAGGAGCATGAACGCTGTAACGACGACGACGACGACGACGACAATTGCGGAAAAGAGAAATAAAAAGAATATACAAACGACGATTGAAGCCATGATGGACGATACAAAACACGAGTGTTAAATTTTTTCTTTCTAGACGTGGGGTAACTTCCAACACGTGAAGGGCATGAACGCTGTAACGACGACGACGACGACGACAATTGTGGAAAAGAGAAATAAAAAGAATATACAAACGACGATTGAAGCTATGATGGACGCTACAAAACACGAGTGTTAACATTTTTTCTTTGCTAGATGTGGGGTGATACATGAACGTGGAAGATGACAGCGATATCTGAGACAGTGATAACGATTCTGAAAATAATGTGACGGCGAGGGTGGCGTGTGAGGAACTGTGACAACTGTGACTGTGGCAATAAAGAGGAGGGCAGTAAATGTAACAGGAAGGTGGTAACGGCATGATGACTGTGACGATGAAAACGACAAGACAGCGACAATGATGACGACGACAGTGACGATGTAAAATTCAAAGAGGTCGTAGGGGATGTATGTAAAAATTTGTGAATAAACTGGACTGATGGTAATATGGACGTCAATGATTTGACGGACGACGACGATACACAACAGTTCTTGACATTGGACATGGATCGTAAAGAATGTTTAACAATGAGAGTTTGCAGGACAGGACAGTGGATTTTCACGAAGATCTATGCAGAATGTTCGGGAACGCACGAATTACAGATGTCCATAACACTTGATAAGGTTCTTTCTGGCTGAGATTATTTTCACTCTTACATCTCTTTCATTTACAGGGACACTATTTAGGTTTAAATTGGAACAATCCAAAAAATGGTACATTTTTATAAATTTATATTTTTCAGTGTGGATTTCTCCCACTACCGCAAAAAAACCCCCAAAGGCAAGGAAAAACTCATTTTATCGAAATTTAAAAAATGGCTATGCTATAAATAATACAAACGAATGAAAAATTTGAAAACAGGCCTATGCTTGTGAGAGGGAGAAAGAATTTCAATCCTACAGGTTCTAAAAAAGTCTTTCGCGTTTTATCAAAAATAAACATTCCTCGTGATTTGGTTCTGAACGATGTAAAGGCTGAAACACACTGGGCAGTCGCTTCAGTCGCGCGTCCAAAGCGAATTGATGCGCACGCGTCAGTCGCTTGAACGCTAGAAACACACATGCAGCGACCATCTCAATACTTTTACCGTGGCGTCTATTGCACATGGCAGTGATTTTAGTTTGTTACAGACACAGATATCACTTAAACTTTTTATTTTGGCCTTTATTATAGCTACGAATATATGAATATTTACTCAGTACAAACTACTATGTGGAGAAAAGAGAACAAGCCAGTTAAAACACGCCAATATGATCATAGTCCATACGCCATTACGCGTATATTGTGGATAATCTTATTCTGCGCACTTAGGTTGTGCATTAGGGTTCCAGTTTGTAGCTCCTATTGTCCCTATTTGATAAGTCATATAAAAACTGAAAGATTCCAGTGTAAATTCACTATATATTGCCTTCGTTTTCCAAGCTATAATCTATAAATTTCGTATGATGCTTATGACAGGAAATATGATATGCACTTAGGAAGTTAAAATGTATCTATTGGCCAATCAGTGTAAAGCGACTGAAGCGACCAAAGTCAAAAGTTCAACATGTTGAACTTTCAAAGCGACTAGCTGACGCCATTGAGTTCTATAATAACTGGAGCGGCTAAGTGGACTGGGAACTGTTGTAAAAAACATGGCGGCCAACGGACGTATTTCCGCTGAAATGATCGCTTTGCAGAAAAATAATATTCTCGACCTCCTCCGGGTTGATGTTATTGATTTTCCCGCCTTCAGTTGAAAATTTCAAATGCAATTGCAAGCTGTATGATAAATAAACAATATCAAGGCCAAAACAATATTTTTTCAAAAATGCAAATCGATGTTCAATTGTAGAATGTCGTAATATTGACAACGCGAAGGACATCGCTTTTCACAGGTGAGTTATTCGCTTATTTTGTTTGTTCCTGAAAGATTGAATCGGCATTTATACAATTGAAAGCCCCAAAATCTGTTAGGCCTTATGAAAAAACATTGTCTTAAATACTGCATACACTGATGTTTTCCTGTGTGTTTTAAAAATTCAACAAATTTGTTTATTTATTTGTTGAATCAACGCATGAAACAATAAATTTACTAATCTATTTCAAATAGTTTTCCTGACGAAGAAAAACCCCACTTTTGGAATGGGTAAATAGTATAAAGAAATGGTCGCCTCTCACAGTTCTAACTAAGTGGAGCAGAGTTTGCTCAGATCATTTTCCGATAGCATGAAGAGAATATCAGGTAACAAAGTGTGTCTAGAAGATAGTGCTGTGCCCACATTATTTCAACAGGTGAAGGATGTTGAATGTGCACTGAGAAAGGTGAGTCGTCATTTCTACTCATGATCACTCATGTGTCTTAAGTCTCCCAGGAGACTGAAAAGACAATTTGAAGATGTTATAGACCGGGCAGAGTATTATAGAAAGAGGTTAAAAGTGTCTAATATGGAAAAAAGTAGACTGAAAAAGAAGGTAAATGATTTATTGTCAATCATTGATTGCCTTAAAGATGATAAAATGATCAGCTCTGATCAAGCTGAACTTCTTAATGCTTCACTATCTGGGGTTCCTGAAGATATTTTGAGTCGTTTAGTGGCAAACACTCAGGGTAAAAGGTGCTCAATACCCCCAGAATTGCAAGCTTTTGCACTAACTTTGAAATTTTACTCGCCTAAGGCTTATGATTATGTTCGTGAGAAGTTTAATTTAGCCTTACCTCATCCAAGAGTAATTCGATCTTGGTATAATTCCGTGGATGGTGACCCTGGTTTCACCAAGGATGCCTTGAATGCTTTGAAAGTGAAGGTTCAAGAATCAAAGAAAGATGGCAAGGAAGTCATATGTGCATTGATGCTGGATGAAATGTCAATCCGTAAACACGTAGAATGGGATGGTCAAAAAGTTTGTGGTTATGTTGACCTTGGTACTGGGATTGACGATGATTCACTCCCTGAAGCAACAGAAGTTTTGGTATACATGGCTGTTGCTCTAGATTCATCTTAGAAAGTACCAGTTGGTTACCTTGGTAGATGGCCTCACTGCAGAAGTAAAAGCAAAATTTAACAAGGAGGTGTTTGATGCATTTAAGGTTGGTGTTAAAGTTGGAAGTTTAACGTGTGATGGTCCATCCACACATCTTGCAATGATGAAGTTGCTTGGGTGAAACTTTCCTTAATGATTTCCAAGCATATTTTTTACATCCATCTGATTTAATGTTGAAAATTTATGCATTCTTAGATCCTTGTCACATGATCAAGCTTGTCAGAGCAATTTCTGAATTGAGAACTCTGAAGGATGAATGGTTGTTGAATGGCAATACCTAGTTGAGCTAGAGAAAACTGCAAGCCTCAGAAGGCTTGCGACTTATCAACAAACTAAAAGAAGCTCACATAAACTGGAAGCCACAGAAATGAAGGTAAATTTAGCAGTGCAAGCACTCAGCTCAGTGTTGCAGGATTCTGAAGGTAAGCTCAAACTTCACAGTTTAAAGGGTGTGATAAAACAGTCAAATTCATTCGAGTATTTGATCGCTTGTTTGACGTTTTGAATTCCAGGAATCCAATTGCTAAAAATTACAAAGCACCAATAAGGAAAGCGAATTACAAGCTGATAAAAACCTTCTTGGATGAAGCAAGGCAATACGTCTTAAATCTGAAGGGTGCTGATGGAAAGTCGATTTTTTCCCATAAGAGGAAAACAGGATTCTTGGGGTTTCTGTTGTGCATTGAAGCAGTGCAAGGGCTTGCTGAGGATCTTGTTATAAGTGAAACAGCCCAATTGGACGACATAAGAAAACTATTTTGTGGTCGTAACATTGATAGCACTTTCAATCAGATCGAGCGTTGTAGTAAGTGCTTTTTTCAAAATTAAACCAGTCTGTCAATTGATAAATGAATTGTTAACGTTCTTTTAAAAATAAACGTTACTCAATATTAAACGCACGTGTTTAACTTACAGGTGACATTATGAATATTGCCGGGATGATCTGCATGCGGAAGTCCTTGAACAACGTTCATGATGCGTAACATTTTATCTTTAACATTTTTTTGTACCTTATAGTTCAATGAGTTCACATTGTTTATATAGTTTCTTGACTTGTAAAAGCCAATGGTTAAACTTCGAATAACTTGAAAAAATTTAGAAGAATTTTACTTGAATGCAGGGGTGTGACTTGAGTCCCGAGAATGGAGAGGAAATGTTGCAGAATTTGATTTGCCCAACAAAACGTAGTGTAATTTTATATTAATACCAGCAAAATCGCTTTTACTTAGTTATGAGTTGATCCAAACGTCATCGTTAATATTTGCCGTTTTAATTTCCGCAAAATTACATGCTTTGCTCGACAAAACTGCTAACTTTTTGAAGGCTGAGCCACCACATATCAATCCCTCTCAGGATTTACACCCTGTTTCAACGTTACTGATACAGCAATTAACGATTTGTGCACGCTAAATTTACATGTATATTATCATGGGAATCATCTCTTACAATATAAAAACTTTAAAATTCAATGCAATATTTAGTTCTTCATAGTTAAAAAAGTTTGATTTGTTAACCAATCAGAATAAAGCATTGGCGTTTGTCATTTGCATTTTTTCCGCTTTTTTTAAATACTATAAATATTTTAAAACTTGTCTGAATTTTCCTTTGCTTATTTCTTGTTTTTATTGTATTTGCCAACTTTCTATTGTGGTCCATGGATGAAAAAGAGGTTAGTACAGATCAATAATTTAATAATTTCTGATCTGAAAAGCTTTATATGAAGCTTTCAGCATGGAAGTAAACAAAAAGTGATTCATTTACATGGTTTAAATCCCTTCTTGCAAAATATCTATTTACACTTTATCGTTTTTTGCATACAAAAACACCAGATGCTAGATTATACAGATGAGGAAAAAGCAATGGACACTGGTATCAAATGTGTATAAAATTTGTTTTGTTTTGAAAACTGAAAATCACTCAAATAGTTCAATTGCATTCAAAACAGGTCAGGAAACTGAAGTAATGAAAATGCAAGTGTGTACCAAAATTGTTCTTTATTACACATACAACAATGCATCAAAATGTGCTAAAATCTACTACTATTTGAGGTGGCTCCAATTCTGAAAACCAAAAAATAAAGAAGGTAAACAGTGCTTTGTATACAATACTGTTCTCATTCATATATGATATATGCCCATCAGCTCTCACATGATACTTTTGTCTTTCACCTGAGCCTTTTCACCAAGAGTCTTTTCACCAAGAGTCTTTAACCTGAAATTTAATCATACACATAACAAATCAAACATCACCTAACAAACGATTTGTTTATGTAGAAAGCAATGTCGAAGCAAAAGTTCATTTAAAGGTGTGGTATAGTGTATACATGTACTAATTGCCTTTGATGCCTGGCTGATAATTGCCATTGTTTTTTAATGAAGGAAGATGCTATAATTGTGGCCACAAAGGCCACAAAATGAATGAATGCAAGAAAAGTAATGACAAAAATGAAATAACATTTCTTTCATGACCATTGTAATTGACAATTATATACTTTTTTTTGTATAGAGTTTAATCGTATGAGAAGAAGTAAGTTTGATTGACCTAGTGATAAAACATCAGCTTCATTAGATGGTTGAAAACTTCAAGTTGCATGCATTATTGTTAACAGAATTAAGCTAATGACACAAACAAATAAAAAGTTTTATGAACTACAGCCTTCTTATGAATATTTAACAGGACGACGTTGCTACATATGCAAAAGATTGGGCCATGTTGCCAAGCAGTGTAGGGAAGGAAACCTACCAGTCAAAAACGTGCTGAACAATTGCAGCAACTGCACAATAAACCTTACAAGGAAATAAATTTTAAATATTTTTTTTTTGTCATTTAGTCATCTTTAGCAGAAATACAAAAAGATTATATATTGTTTTTTTTCTCAAAACTTCATTAAAAGAAAATTCTTATTGCAAATATGTTGTGTAACTTAGTCTGATTGCACTAACATACATTACCACATTGACATAAATATGACTATAGAGCACTCTTTAAAAGTTAAGTAAAGAACAAATTCTGAAGAAACAAGACATCTTGAGATGTAAAAATGTGAATCAAAACAAGACGTGAACTGTAAATTTTCGATTTATTTCAAAGTCATCCACAGACAGAATGATAATCCAAACCATGCATACACATATATTAAGAAATGGTTTGTTAACACGGGACTTAAGGCTAGCAAAGAATTACAACTCTTCTCTTAAATTACAATACACTCATTCCACCAGTCTGGTCTCTTGTTTCAATTCATCCTTTTAAAATATGACAGCACTTCCAACTCCGCTTTCGTAAATATCAAACTATTTAATTTCTATTGCTTGACTTTCGTTACTTAATTCATGCATTGTAAATATATATGTGTATGCATTGTTTGGATTATCATTCTGTCTAAGGATGACTTTGAAATAAATCGAAATTTTACAGTTCACTTCGCGTTTTGTTTTCATTCACATTTTTTCATCTCGAGATATCTCGTTTCTTCAGAATTTGTTTTTACCATCTTTTTAAATTGTCGGCTGGACATGGCTCAAGACTTTTCTCCCTTGAAAAGAGACCACATCGTCACATCGTGCACATGTACATTAGACACGATGTTTAAAACGTTCAAAGAGTTCTTTCGTACATAGTTTATAGTTAATAGCTTTCTCGCAGGAGCCGATGACTGGAAAGCAAGCACAGTTGACTCGCTGTTACGAATTGTAGGTTTTATCGTGATTTTCATCAAAATTGCTAGCCGAATCCAAATACACACATTTTCCTCACTCTTTCTTCAGGAGGTGGGAAATTGTGAAATTTTCGGAAGTCAATTTCGGTAAATCTCAGCGGCAACGGACGAAATCCGCCATGTTTTTCACAACATCAGATATCTAAGGCCGCGCTTGAGATAGCCGCTCCAGTTATTATAGAACTCAATGGCTGACGCGACTACGCTACTAGCTTAGTAACCACGCAAAGCGGTAGTTTTAGACGCGCGACTAAAGCGACTGCCTAGTGTGTTTCAGCCTTAAGATGGGAAGAAGCTCAAATGGAAACTTCCCCCGATGAGGAACATGGAATAGCCCACCACAGAGGCTCAAGAACGAAAATGACAACACCTAAACCCTCATCTACACTTAAGAAAACTCGTTTGCGTTGGATAGACTATTAAAATTTGACATGTAAAGATTCGTTTTGTTTAAATAAATAGAGCAGTTGATATCAATTTCCTGATTGTTATCATCAGAATATGCAAAAAGAAAACACAGGCAATTAGTTTACACAAAGAAAATTTTATTGATAATAAACGCATCAAGCTTTTACAACAAATTTTATACTTGACCCAATGCCATCGTTTAGAGCAGGGGTCTCCAAACTACGGCCCGCGGGCCAGATGCAGCCCGTCGGGCCTCTCAATCCGGCCCGCAGAGGCACTTAAGAAAAAAAAATATAAACAAAATAAACTTTGTGCAGAAAGTTCACGTTATGATGCAAGCCAACTTGCAAGAGTGGCTTACGTCAATTTTTGTCCCAACTTCCTACTTCTGTTTCAAGCACATTGCGAAATTTAAAAAGCTGAAGGATAACGTGGAAATTTTTTATATTCTTCGGCCCTCAACATGCTGGATGAAAGTTCATGTGGCCCTCTGGCTGTAAAGTTTGGAGACCCCTGGTTTAGAGTTACACTAGTTTCTATATGAAAATATCTGCTAACGAAACTTGATACCTTGTTATCGTTCTCAACAGTATTACCATCAAACATGTTTACAATCTTATTCATGCTATAACCTCGCACTCTATGGCTGAGGTAAAATACGCAATATTGTCCACCTACATACATTTAGATACTTTGCAACTGACGTTTATTAAATCCCCAATCAAAATGATTCCAATAATCTCTAAAGAACTTATGATATCGTTCCGATGGTTGTCCATAGTTATCGAAGAATTTGGCTTTTCCTTCTGAAGGGAAGTAAAAGGCAACCCAATGGGTCCCCGGTAAATCCTTTTGGGTAGCTTTCGATTTTTTTAGGCAGACGATCGGCTGGAAAAAGACCGAGAAATTTTTTTCCTGTTACCGGATCGGGTTTCAAAGCGGTCCATATTTGTGAGGTGCTTATTTATCCAATGTAGTCATAAACGACATTCCTTTCGGCGTTGATGAGAATTATATTTTCAAACTCTCCATAGCAGACAAGGCTAACCGCATGAGTTGGTGGTGTCGAGAATTGTAAGTCAATGGCCAGGTTCTCTTTTTGCACCGTGTTAAAATGTTCGGACGCACTGCACATATCTGGGGTAAAGTCCACGCCGAACAGGGCAAACCGTTTGGGAAATCTTCACGCGTAATGCCATTGCCTGTGTCGTAATACATTTTCCCAGTGCCAAATAACTGCGATAGAAATGCTTCTATAAATCTCGGATTAGAACCAAAGGACAACTTGATTGGATTAAATGGTACAGATTCACCAATTATTGAAATGTATAACGATGAAATGTTGAAATTATGGAAATTGAATGGGTTCTTTTTATAAGCTCCGTTGAATGACGCACTTTCAACAAGACCGACAACAAACGATTTAGGCACTAAACCATCGAAAAGGTTTTCTGTTTGCGTTTCCAGAAGGAATTATAAAACTTTTGCTCCACACGTCTTACTGGGTAAATGGCTGGACCTCTTTTTAGGGCAACCTCGTGAGCCAGAGATGTACTAGGATTCCCTTTGGCTTTACGAACTTTAAGGTATGTATCTATCAGTTTCACTCTAAAGGCTGCATCGTCCACCGATGACACTAAGACAAATTCGTCACTGGTACGGTTCATGACCACTTTCAAATCAAAATAGCTAAGTAAGAGACGTTCACCAAAAAAACATCACATAAGATAGGACCTGCCATATCAACAATTTTACTTCCCATGATAAACTTATTTCTTGTCATCAAACCCCCGTTTGGACTTGCTTTGGCAGGATCTGTATTATCCATCTGACCTGTAGCATCTTTGTAAAATAACGCAGCGGTGAGTTGGGATTGCTTGGCTGGTGGACCATAATTTAAAAGTGTGCCTGTTGCTTGTGTAACTAACTTTCCTTTTAGAAACACCTCAACTTGCTTAAACAAACTGTACAAGAAATTGTTTACAGGTCCAACTTTAGTGTCATCATCGATATCCCCACCATCGGCTTTTGTTACCTTTGCTCTAGCTACCAATATTGTCTTAGATATGTCAACATAATCTTCTGTGCCGGATATTAAAAATGTAATTGGTCCATTTTCAGATACGCTGGACACAGGTTGAGGATCAATCCAATGCCCTTTTTCTAAACTGACTTGTGTTGGTGGGACAGAAAATAAATCAAGTTCGGTTTTTGTACATTCTACAGATTTTGGATGAACGCAATCCATATTTAGCCGAAAATGTCATCTGATTCTTTAGCTGCTTTACGTCTCTTGGCTGAACTGTGAATGGAGACGGAACTCGTCGCCTTTCTCTTTTTAGCTGGTTTCCTTGTCCATTTCTTTGAAGACTTTCAAACTGTTGCATTCTGTTTACAGCCATTTTTCCCACATCTTTAGCAGCCTGATTTACTCACGATTTTGCAGAGTATTCCACAGTTTTCCCGGAGATAACATCGCCTAAAACGTTTGCTCCTGTGTTAAGAGCAATTTTACCCAGAGTTTTTGCACCGCTTTTTGCCAGAGATATTACAGCTCTAGCCAAACTGCGAAATAAGCCGCCAAGACCATAACCCACTTGCCAATATCCTCTTTGCCAATGTGCTCCTTTAAACACTGGAGATGAACTGTATCCTTGTTGTTGGTTGAGATAATAGCCGAGTAAGATTGACAATTGTTGATTAAATAATACTTTATAACCTTGTTTTACAAGGAATTTAAATTTTCTGTACGGGGGTCAAAGCTCAATCGAATATTGTCGTTTATCTTGTTGTCAAGAGTCTCATTAATTGCTTTTACTAGGTCGAAGGCTTTTCATACAAGCCATGGTCGACAAATACCGAGTAGGTAGACCTGATTTGTAAGTTACATATATATGTGTATCAAACCTTTTTCAACGTATACCAAGTATGCGGGTACGTGATTGAATACACCCTACTTCCCAATTGCCGTTTAAATTCACAACGTGTGGTAATTTTACGCGATAACCGAAAATTTGTGAAAAATTCTTTTGAAAATTCTGTAAATACCCTTCTCAAACCTTCGTTTTATTTTAATTATTCGTACTTGGTCACCTATTTCAAACTTATATTTTATATGCGGAGGTTTATTTAATTTGCTATCACCATATAAATTTTTGCCGAATTCTATCTTCATTTTCACTTGTAACGTTGATCGGTTTTTCCTTAATGCTGCGATGCATGCTATGATTATAAGAATGCAGTAGATCAGGAAGCATGTCAATGTATCTCATGGTTTTGTTTGCTGTAGTAGCGCCACATTTTAGTTTTCAGTGTACGTAGCAAACGTTCAACGATGGATGCCTTTGTCTCGTTAAATGTATTAAACAAGGTAACGTTTTCCTCTGTCAAAAGTTTCTTAAAGTCACGATTAAAAAACTTCCGGCCTTGATCTGTTTGAATGTGTGTCGGTTTACGTCCTGATGACAAAATATTTTAAAAGCTTCTACCAACGACAATCCTGTTTTCTGTTTGTAAATGATGATCGTCCAGGTTAATAAAGTCCTGAGAAGGACTGTTTTGATGTTGTTGACTGACGTTTCGACAACCTTAGCGGTAGTCATCTTCAGAGTCAAATGAGGAGAAACGTCAGGTTAGCCGTATTTGTTGTCTGGTTCTTACGTCATTGTATTGTGTGTACAGGAAATGTGCAGGAAATTTGTATTGTCATTGTGGATTAGTGTGAAGTGAAATATTTTATTTTAGTTGTGATGTGTGATTTAGGTGTGACGTTTTTAGTTGTAGTGTGTGGGTGTCAATTGTATCATTGTGAATTAGT